CTGGAATATGATAGGTTCTATTGGTTTAAGTTTAGGAACATTGTACTTTTTGTATTTTATTAGCCCATTGTTTTGTTAAATGAACTGAGCAACAGTAGACATTTAGAAGCATTTGCATTTCCAAGTGGAAATCACTATAAAGTAAGAAAAAAATCCTCACTGCTGTCACCAGAAACAATGTTCCATTGAAAGATTTACCGTTACCTGTACAGTGACAACTGTACAATTTTCCGTATCCAGTTTTTTCTGTTCCTGTAATAACGGCCACCAATAAAAATAAGCCTGACAGGGCTTCTATCCATTTCATAGTCTATAAAAAATAAGTACACGTTTTGGCTATAGATAGATTTAAATTTCACACTATGGTAAACACTCACAATTAATATGCTGCTGTCATTTGTCATTTAACCAATAATGTAACAGTATAGTATTATATAATAAGGTTTAGTATTGCCCAAGGTGGTCTTGCAGTTTGTAGTCCAGGTGACAATCAAAAATTAGTGACCTAGAAAAAAAGCACTTATAGTTCCATGTACAATGCATTAAGGGAAAGAAAGAATAAGATAGCTAGGATGGCTCTGGGTGAGCAATTTGTCTCCCATAGTCATGTTGGATATGTTATGGATATGTGTTATAGCGCAGTATGTCTCATTCACTGTTTTAACATAAATACAATATTGATTATCTTTAGCTAAAACTAGGTACATATATCATAAAGCAAGCTTAGATTGTAAAGTACACTACTGGAAGGTTTGAAAGGAATTGTACCGGTACCGGTTTGAATTTATAACAATGGCTCTAAACCCTTTGGGAGCGCTTTTAGGACATTATTATCATGATTTTCGGCAAAGTAGCACTTACATTTAGATTCATTACATGTTTCTAGTTAACCAGTTAAATGAATACAAGTGATGTCGTACAGTCAGTTATGATGACTTAATTTATGAAGTATTTAAGAAGCAGTCAAGGGGCTTAGAAGACCCATTCACAGTTGGTCATTGGGATACATTTAAACCTGAAATTCACAAAAAAAACGAATATTGTCCAAATATAAGAGGCATATGTATTCTTACCTGATGTCCTTTGATGTCACTTTCAAATTTGTGCAGTAAACCAGCGTGGAACAAGTCTTGTGCTTTGGCTCTCTGTAATGAAGACTCGTCCCGCTGCTCTTTTTCCTTATGTAGGGGGACTGGTCTTGTATCCACCCCCTGCATTTTTCTGCAAGAAACCTGTGCATGTGTGTCGACATGCTGGATCCCTCCCACAGCTCTGCGTTCTGCACAGGCTATGTTCTCCACAGTTATAAGTCATGAATTGAAATGAAAGTTCTTGTACCAAGAGTTCAGCTTTATCCTAGAGCTGTATGTATTTCAGTAATTAATAGAGGTTAAAGTGAAACTCCCGGTAAACAGCAAAATATATGATTTAAAGTATACCTAATCCCAATCAATAAACTCTTAAATAAGTACCTTCTATTATAGGGTAACAACTGTTTTTAGAGCGTGCTCCTGAGTTGTCACATGCAACCTTGCTGGAGATTGTGCCAACAAACATTGGATAGGCAAGGTCCACCGTTATCATGATCAGGAAGCTAGTCATAAGCTAGGTGGGTTGTGGAGGTTCTGTGAAGTACCCTTCAAAAAAACAATGGCACTGCAAAGCACCAGCATGTGCAGGGTGCTCTGCTGAACCTTGCAGTAACATGCACGTTATCTCAATGCACTGGTGCAAACAAGTGGCAGTGTTTTTGTCTGTCAAAGGACTTGTCATTATGTTCAGGCAATTCTTGTAACTGACATCTTTAACACTGCACAGCCAATCACTCTATTCCTTTCTGATCAAAAATGTTGTTTTGAGGTTCTGAAAGGACAAAATATTCCATTTTAAAAATAAATATGGGGGTTGTAGAATAGGTATAGCCAATTTTGTAATCTTACTTTCGGTTAAGTAGAGGGTGTCAGTTTATTTTTTTCTGTTGGTATCTTGGGGATGCAACAAAAATTTCCCCAAGTGAGGGGAATTCTCACCTTAGAAAGTTTTTCCCAAAAGAGATGTCCCCATTTAAAGATCTTACCCCCTTATGCAAGTGGCAACTGTAAAATTTTGGATTTCATGATGTCATGTCACTTTTAGTCCAGAAGATAATAGTCAACAAGAGAAATAAGACACAAACAGCATTAAAAACCTGACAGGGATTACCTTTACCACTCTAACCATGCATTCTTTTTAAGAAAGCTACAGTATATTACACAGAGGAGTTGTGTTGTTGTACTTATCTTGGTATAAGATACATTTTCATTAGGTCATTAGCTTCATGCATTTTAAGTATATACAATTTGATTGAACAATATCCCCAGAGACCCGCAAAGAACAGTTTGTTTGTTTTTCTTTCATTAAAAAAAATGAAATTATAAAGTTATTTATTTTAGTGAACACTTCACTAATGTTCTACTCAATGTCATGCAAATTTTCAGAATTTATTAGTTGGTTGATTATAAATAACTTCAGAATGTGTACACACTACAGCAACGTGAAAACCCCTGAATAGAAATCTATGCTATGCTACCAATCAAGCCAAGTGCATAAAGCATGAAAAGTGTCTATCGGTTTGGTTAACAAGCAGTAAATCTTTTTAGTACTATTTATACAATAATGTACAAGAACAATGTGTAGCATTAGGTACAAGTGATACAAGATTACAAAACAAAATGTAGATGGGTTTTATACATTAGGTAAATTACCAACCTTATTACATCCTAACACTTGGTTTGTATGCATGACTTACTTGATGTATTGGGTTGAAGCCATTATTAATCAGTCCAGTCCAGTGCCATTTCTTCTCCCGTTGGACTATAAACACAAAATTAGCAGTGTGTGCATTCAGCTATGACTATCAGCCCAAGCTATAGATGATGGGAAGATTGTGTTGTATTTATTGGATTATACAGTGTATGAAACAGTGCCTTGGCTAAGATTTGATAAGCAGTCTATTTGAGATTGCCGCCGCTCAGTCTGAAAAAAGCAAAACACGTCTCTCCAGATGTTGCCACACAGCCTAAAAATATTAGCTGTGGCTGTAATTATCTTCAGAAGCATTTGCAGAAACCAAATTTAGTAACTGCGGCCACTGTCTTACCTCCAGAGTTTAATATCTTATTCATAAATACAAATGAGTAGTAATTTTTTTCTAGCAATAACAACTACTGGTAAATTATGCATGTTTATATTTCTTTCATAAAAGTAACCAGAAAAATTTGATTCTATTTTCAGTACTTTGATATTTTCATTCGGGTGTATTCTCTAGATGAGGTATTGGCTGTCACTTTAACATCATCCTTTTTTATATAAAAGCCCTCTACAGAAATAGTCAAAGACACTAATATGTTTCAGATTGTTACTGCCTGCATTACGTGGAAGTACAAGTCTTACAAATTCATCAGATCATATTGAACATTAGCAATAAAAAGGTTCTGTGGCTTTCTTCCTATTACTTTTCCTTTCCTTTCTTTAAATGTGAAAAAAAGTAATTTACTATATATGGGTGCCATCTATGGTTTAGAATAAAAGAAAATAATAGTTATGGTGGAAATCAAATTAATTTCAGGTATCATATTTCTAATGTGTGTTAATAAATATTAAAACAAAAGTTTTGGCTACTGTGGCCAGATCTTCACAAATGTACCTCATTGTATCTTAGTACCAGTTGACTTCAAATGATGTTCTGCCGATAGAGAGAAAAACAGAATCGATTTCATGTTCAGTGTTCATGTTCAAAATATGTCAGAGCATAGGCCAATGATTTGATATTCCATAGGGTTGATTTAGTAAAGGCAAATAGGCTGTTAAAGGGAATTTTCCTTTAGTGAATAGGCTGATAATTCACTTTGCAAAGAATACCCAACCACTGCAAAGGAAATAAATAGGAATGCACCGATACCGATCAGTATGGGTCACACTGGACATTTTCACAAGTACTTGTACTTGTCAAAATGCCCTGATACTAAGCGCCACTACCGGCACTTTAAATTTTTTAATGGAAGCTGTTGCTGTAAACAAGCGCCGCCATTCACAGAAAGGCTGCTCAGGTCTCCAGCAAGGTCCAAGCAGCCTTCCTGTGAACCGCGGTGCCTGTTTACAGCACTGACCAAAAATCTCCTCTTCCTTCCTGCAACCCACCACTTGCACCTCCCGAGGCTGACTGGGACCCTGCACAGCGCGACTGGGACCCTGCACAGCCCACCATAGACTCTGTGCATCATGCTGAGACCCTGCACAGCCCACCATAGACCCTGCACAGCCCACATGAGACCCTGCACAGCCCACCGTAGACCCTACGCAGCATGCTGAGACCCTGCGGAGCCCACCATAGGCCCTGCACAGCCTCCTGAGACCCCGCACATCCCATCATAGACCCTGCATAGCCCACCATAGACCCCACACAGCCCACCAGAGACCATGCACAGCGCACCATAGAACCTGCACAGACTCCTGAGACTATGCACAGCCCTCCTGAAACCCTCTGCTGGAGACACTAGACCAGAGCAGAACAGAGTATGTAGCTTCATATTATTCTGCATTGGTGTATATTACATTGCTAAGATTTTTAGAAAAAATGTCCCATGCCACAAAAAAAAGGTTTCGGTACTCATACTTGGTCTGGAAGCAAAATGGTATCAGTGCAACCCTAGAAATAAAAATCAGTTTTTTTTGCACATGATTGGATAATAGAAGTCAGCAGAGCTTTACCTAATTCACTAAGCTAAGGGAAAGGCCTATTTGCCTTTACCAAATCAACCCCTGTGTCTTTGTCTACAACAAACTGACAGAACTGAAGGTGAATTTGAACTTTACCCATTTAGGGCAAATTAATAGGTTTCTTGGTTTGCCCCGTGCTAATGCCTTCTCTGTTCTTCCCTGCTGCCCATTTCACCCACCAGATGTCCATGAATCACCTAGTACTTAGGGAAATGATTCTCTTCTTTCTTATCCAATGCTAGACTGGGTGCTTGCAAGGGAAGATAATAATTGGCTGCTTTTTCCCAATGCAGTGTGTAAATAGAGACCGAAGACTGGAGGAAATGTCCCTCTAATTTTAAAAAAAGGACACAGTTTGCTGGATAAATTAGTTCTTCAGAAAGAATACATATACATATTCACTGATTAGAGACAACTAGGCCAGCCATGTAAGCAGAATTTCCCTTCTGGGAAGGACATAGACTGTAAGACTAGGAGACTGTGTTCCCAAGGAGTTGTTGAGGGGCAAGAAAAAGTGAGTGATGGTGAGAGAATATGTTGTGGAGACATGCTGCATCACATTGCCAGGCATTGATTTACTATGACCCATGAGAAGAAGACACTGGGACTTTATTTCAATATTATTAAGTATGTGTCTGATCTTTGGATCAGGATGTTATTCTTTCTGTCACCTTTCTTAAGTCACAGTTTTAAACAAAGAGCGGTGGCATAATTCCTTGTCTCAAGCAACACTATAAAAGGGATGAAATATGTAAAATCTGCGCTTATGGATTAGAATATACAGTATATACATATCTGTGTATTTATAAATAAACAAATAAAGCTGCTGCGCTAGGGACACTGGGGTCAAAATGTATGTAAATGAGTGTGCAGCACTCAGGGTCACCAATAAGTGAACCAAAACGATCAAATACGTGTTATTAAGACAAGGTAAAAGTGCTTATAATCTTTAGTGCATAATCTGCTACCATATCCTGGTGGTAGCCAGTGAGATATTAAATACAAAATTTCACTTCGTGCAAATTTGCAAAAAAACTTATTATACAAAAATTATAAGAAAATTCTTTGTTGCAATCAAATATAAACGTGCATCAAATAAATCCAAAGGGTCATGTATGCAAGTGAAAAATCATAAAGTGAGTCCAAACTGCTATTTAATACAATTGTATATAATATATTGATGACAAAAACTTCAAACAGGTGCTTTGCAATCTTTCTCCCACACCATGTGTTCACTCCAAATTCCCCTCAGGGGTGCGCACTCACCAAACCAATATCGTTTGTAGGCAATAAAAAGATGAGAAGCAGATACGTCCCAGCAAGCGGCTCATCAGAGTCCCATAGATCGATATTTAACGAGAATAAAAAAGGAAACTCCTCATGGTGTAGTTGACATCAACATTTATTAAAAAAATATAGTAACTTACAGTTTATAAGCAAACAGATCGGGCCCACTCACAGGCAGAGTGTAGATGTCCTGTACTTCCTTGTTGTGCTTGGTATTGAGATGTGTAGCCCTCCCCAATGTGTTTCGTCATAAAAGACGTCCTCAATTCCACAGGTTGATTCCTTTATACCTAACGTCTAGGTCAATATGAAAAGACACGGCAAGAAGGCAAGAAAAAGTGAGTGATGGTGAGAGACTGTGGTGTCTGATCTTTGGATCAGGATGTTATTTTTTCTGTCACCTTTTTTAAGTCACAATTTTAAACAAAGAGCGGTGGCATAATTCCTTGTCTCCAGCAACACTATAAAAGGGCTTGTAAGGATAAAGTGAGTAGTGAACAGAGATTGCAGCTGTTTTTCTTTTTCTTATTATGCTCACTGTGTGCAGACTGTATACATACAAATGACAGCAAATCTGTGATGGGGGCATGTCATGATTCACTTTGCTCAGTACAAGAGAGATGCTAAATGTACTTTTTACCCACGTGTAAAAACATAAAAAAACATAGCTTTTAAGATATACTTGTTCAGACAAAATATATGGATTTTGGTTGCCAATGTAAAATAATATAACAGACACATAGCAACTTTAAGACACTAAACACATTCAGCTTTTGTTTTTACCCATTTAAACAGCTATCCCTATTAGTTTTATGCAGCAGCCACAGATGGGATCTTAAACCTAATGGTTTTCTGACTTTTCTACATTTTATTGTATGATCGAGTCAGGTTTTTGCGGTTAGAATCATATGCCTCTCCCTGGTCTTTCCATCACGATGCTCTATTAGCTCTCTCCTATCAATAATACCAAGTCTGACAGTGGGACAGGATGAAGACCCCCGAAAATTACATTACATGTTTAATGATGATGGATAACACTTCAGCATGTCCCTAGGCAGCAAACAGCCTCCTCTTTTTTTCTTATAATGAAAGGAAAGCAGAACATTTTCAGAAATCAGGAGCAGCTGGTTAAAATAAAATGAAATCTCCAAAGACTGGTGGTTCCAAGAGGAAGAGGTAGTATTCTTCCTTTGCATCTTTACTCATGCATAACTTCTGCGTCCCCCCGAATTACATGGTTTACAAGAAGTGTACTAGGATCACTGACAAGGGTCGAGACTAATATAGTTTTCTACCTGTCTATATCTATCTATCTATCTATCTATCTATCTATCTATCTATCTATCTATCTATCTATCTATCTATCATATTGTAGAATGAGTTTTAAATAACCTAAAGCAGAACTCAAGCCAAAAAATAGCAATAAAAAAAATATATATCTCATGCAGGTCTCATGCACATCAGTGCCAACACCCATATGACATAAATATAGCATATTTCCCCCACCAGAGAGCCAGGGGTGTTGCCTTCAGGTATATGCTGGTACTTCCATATGCCTACGCATATGCACTAATGTAAGACTGAGGGTTTGTATGTCATGTGCGGTTGTATTAAGTATCACCATATACCTGACTTATATGGGAGGATGTACACAGCACCTGTGGCTCCCTGGTGGGGGAATAACAACAGTATTTATGTTTTATGGGTGTGTGGGCCTGTGTGCATGAGCCCTAAAAGATTAAAAATAAATAAATAACACACCTTTTTGCTGCTTTACTCACCGCCAGGCTGCCTAGCAACAAGTAAAGCTGGCTTCCTAGCCAATCAGAAAGCCGGACGGCATGTCATGACCCGCCTCCCGGCGTCCTGATTGGCTAGGTAGCCTAGGCTTCACTTGTTCCTAGGCAGCTTGGCTTCCTGACCAATCAGAAAGCTGGATCATTACGTACCGCCCAGCTTCCTGATTGGTTAGGAAGCCAGGCTGCCTAGCAACAATTAAAGACGGCTAACCCACCGCCCAGCTTCCTGATTAGAAAGAAAGCCGGGTCCATGCAGCCTCAGCAATGTCGGTCAGAGGGAGATTTCCCTCTGACTGGAAGTTCCGGTATAGGAGGTAGGTATCGGAACATTTGGGCGAGTATGAATACTCACCCAAATACACAGTATCGGTGCATCCCTAGTATTAATAATCACATTTGTGTAGAGTTCAGCTTTAAACTCATGATACACATTAGAGATGATGGTTTATCAAAAGATCATTTTTTTTTTCTTGTCAGCATTTCTTTTTATCGGCATTTGCACTGACAGTATTCAACGGCATTATTTATACCCCTTTTTCATTTTTCCAAAAATAAAAGCAGAGGAATACAGAATTTGATTTCATGTATGCTTATCTGCTTACTTACCAAAAATAAGATTGTGTTAAATACAGCTGTAGCTGTGGTAGACATTTCAGTCATGTTATAGTGCCAAATATCATTTAGGCATTATCTGATAAACATAACATGGTTCCATAAAATGCTAGAAAAACTCATAAATCACAAATAGTGATCACAGTAGTGATAATCATCATTCACCCGGAGAAGTTCTGCTTTAACAAATGGTATAATTTAAATCTCTACTTTGAGAAGCAATAACAGCATGTATGTACGGTATCTGTCACTACAGAAGCACTTTAAAGTGTACGTCCAGCCATTTTTATATTTTTTTTTTGGATAGAGCAGTGAATGATTGTAACCTCTGTCAAATTGTACTGCTATCTGGAGCTCTGTTAAGCTTACTGCCAATATGATAATGGTTTAACCAGATAGGAACACTGAAAGAAATAAAAATACTTTTTTGGTAGTGTTGGGAAAGGCTAAAAACATTGTTCTGACTGTATTATTAATTCATGTAATTAAAATATTTAGTTTATGAATATTTTCTCTCACAAACTGTGACGCTCGTTCGCGAGTACGAGCCGCCTCGGGGCGGCGAAGACCCACTGCGCAGGCGCAAAGAGGAATTCCCTCTACTCGGCCGGGAGCACGTTTACAACGTCGCTTGGCAACGGCGGACTGCGCAGGCGCAAAGCAGGACTCCGCCTCCGCAAGTACGAGCACTCGGCATAAAGCCGCGGCTCACTAATTGATCGGCGTCCTACTGTTGGTTGTAGCAGGACGCTGATCAATCAGCTGTCCCCTCTCTACTTCCATCCGGATCCCTCGCGGCTGGGCATCAGTGAACCGGTGTCCATCTCCATCCTCTGTTCTCATACAATACGAAACCGCAAGTACTAGGGGCAACCCTCACTATTGCTCTTCAGATTGCTGGGGTGATGTTCGGGGGAAACCTTGCCTCCTGGAGCTTACTAAACCCATTAGATGGATTACATGCTTCATTCAATTATGCAATAACTCTACCATCAACTGATTACCTGCTTGATACTTCTATGCTCAATTGATTACCTGCTTGATACTTCTATGCAATAACGTAACCATCAATTGATTACCTGCTTGATACTTCTATGCTCAATTGATTACATGCTTGATACTTCTATGCTCAATTGATTACCTGCTTGATACTTCTATGCAATAACGTAACCATCAATTGATTACCTGCTTGATACTTCTATGCTCAATTGATTACCTGCTTAATAGATGCATGCGCTAGTTCACTAGTATTTGAGTGTTTGACATAGCGGTGGTGCGTATGACAGCCACTGGAGTTGGTTGTGTTGCCTTCCCCACCGCCCACTCATATTAGGGGCAGAACCCCGCTCGACTCAGGATACGGGGCATGATGTGAGGCAGCTCCCTCCAAGCCTCAATAAATACAGGGCAATTGGAGACCGAGCTGCAGAGGCTGACCCCCATTCCTATAGACAAAGCTAAACGCTCCGCAGTTGTGATTCAGAAACACGCCCAGTAGGAGGTAGAGTATTACAGTACAGTAGGACCCTCAGAAGAGATAATGGATCCAGCGGAGCTAGCGAATTGTATTCTCACCTTGACACAAAGAATGGAGGCTCTGACACTTAACGTTGGGGAACTCAGGACAGAGAATAAGACATTACGTGACATCATCACCCAGAGGCTACCTGAAGGTGCTTCTTCTCACCCAGCCCCCGAGCCTAAAGTGAGTCCCCCGGACATCTACTCGGGAGATCGCAGGTACTACAGTGACTTTCTGAATGCTTGCAAACTCATGTTCGAGTTAAGACCCAGAGCCTATCCCAACGATAGGGTAAAGGTTCGCACTCTGATCTCTTATCTCAGAGGCGAACCCCGGGCATGGGCGAATACTTATTTAGAGTCGAATGACCCCTTACTGGAGTCTTATGACGGGTTCGTTGCAGCCATGTCCCTGCTATACAATGACCCCGGGAAACAACTTACTGCGGAAGCAGCCATTAGGAGCATCAAACAGGGGAAGCGCCCTGTCGAGACCTTTATAGCAGAGTTCAAACGTTGGGGTCGCCAAACGGAGTGGAATGATATCAGCCTCCGAAATCAGTTTCGTTTGGGACTCTCCGACGCTTTGAAAGACGAACTCGCTAGGGTTGAACTACCCCAAAGCCTAGAGTCCCTTATACACCTCTCCATTTCCATATATAGGCGCCTCAGAGAAAGGCGTGCTGAGAAAAATACAGGCATTCCCTGGATTCCACGCAGGGGGAACGCCTTACCACCACCCGAGCCCATGGAGCTTGGCATGATACGCGGACCGTTATCGCAAGACGAGAAGTCACGTCGCCGCAATTTGAACCTTTGCCTGTACTGTGCGTCTGCCGATCACATGGTAGACGATTGTCCCTCTGTACGTAGGAAGAATGCAGGTAAGGCACTAAGCACTACAATAGGTTGTTGTCCACCTCTCAAACCCATAAATTACATGTATATTTCATTATCCCTACAGTGGGATCAACAAAGAATACCGATTGAAGCAATGATTGACTCCGGAGCAAGTGGTAATTTCATCGATGCCCAACTGGTCAGCCAAAACGACATACCAACTGTAAAAAAAAACAGACCCATCTCTGTTGGGTTCATTGACGGTACCACACTCTCCTCAGGGCCAATAAACATGCAAACACAACCACTGCTAGTTTCCACCGATGACAACCACCGAGAATGCCTGACGTTTGACGTTATCCCTTCCGCAGTATTCCCTGTCATACTCGGTCTTCCGTGGTTGAGACTACACCAACCCACCTTGTTATGAATGGAGAACAAAGTCCTTTTGAAATCCGACTATTGCATGGATACTTGTTACCCCTTGATACCGATTATGCACGTCAACCTGGGTGAGATACCTTTCCACTACCGCAACTTCCAGGACGTATTCAACACCCAGAACGCCGATATATTGCCCCCACATAGGTTGTACGACTGCCTTATAGACCTCCTCCCAGGCAGTACGATACCGGTGGGCCGCATATACCCTTTATCACAGCCTGAACTGAACCACCTAAAAGATTACCTGGATGAGAATCTCAAAAAAGGGTTCATCCATCCATCCACCTCCCCTGCTGCAGCAGGTATGTTCTTTGTCCGCAACAAAGATAACAGTCTCCGACCTATAATAGATTACAGAGCACTAAATTCCATCACAGTCAAAAACCGTTACCCTTTGCCCCTCATACCAGAACTCATTGAAAGACTGCAGACTGCCAAAGTCTTTACCAAATTGGACTTAAAAGGGGCATATAACTTAATTCGAATGAGGGCAGGCGATGAATGGAAGACGGCTTTCAGGACCAGGTACGGACTCTTTGAGTACCTCGTCATGCCATTTAGACTGAGCAACGCCCCTGCCACGTTCCAATGTTTTATTAACGATGTGTTCAGGGATCTCCTGGACGTCTGTGTTGTCATCTACCTTGACGATATTCTCATCTACTCGGATGATCTGGGTAAACATCGGAAACACGTACACTGGGTTCTCTCACGGCTTCGTGCCCATCGCCTATACGCTAAGTTAGAAAAATGTACCTTTGATGCATCAACAGTTCCATTTCTTGGATATGTCATTAGTCCGCAAGGCATAATGGATAGAGCAGTGAATGATTGTAACCTCTATTACATAACATCTAGAATCAATGGCACGTGTGTTATGACTGTAAAACAGCACAGCGCTCATTCTGCCTACACCTTTAAAGACATCTGTTAATTGGCATCTATTCATAGAAGCAATTATGAAGGCATTAAACATATATTTATATCTAATATCACCTCTATTCCACAGCATGTATGCAAAGTGTTTATAATCATCAAGATAATACAGTTCACATAATAGAATAGATACAGTACATCTGCCCTGGAGGGGTTTATTATTGTAATTAAAGAACAAAAAAAGTCTGATCTTATTTTAATTTGTTTGCCTTTCTCATTACCTTTCCCATCAAAAAACAAGTCTTTTAAAACTAGAATAGCATGATTTATGAAACTTTGATTAAAAAATGGAAAAAATAGTACAGTCTAAAGCCATATAATTAATGCATGTGCGTTAATATGCTTCTCTGTACAAGCATTTAAATATTTTTAGCTACTATTTAAAAATCCTCTCTTTAAAATACACACACACGGACTGATTTTCTGAACAACATTAAATGCGTATAGAGGAAAAAAGGTTTAATCCACGCATATGGAAAGGCTTTTTCACAGTAAAAGCTGTGAAAATGTGGAATAGGCTACCTCAGGAACTAGCTCTAGCTACCTCAATTACTTTTTCTAAAAATTCAAGGAGCATTCAGAAATGAGAAGAATAAAACTAGATATTAACATTTTATAAGAAAACAAAAATAGAGATTGTTGATCCAGGCAATATCCAGCATTCAGTTTTCAGCGTGTTTCGTGCTATATGCGCTTCATCAGGAATTTGCTGATTGCAGGAGGAAATAAAGGTCTTGAAGCAATTCATGTGCACATGACTAAGGATGGGCTGCATGTTCGATAAATGTCATTTTTGCTTCAGCAGGTTCTATACATCATACAGATGCGCCACTTTACGGTCAGTGAAAGGGGACCCCCCAGGCACCATATTTAAAGGAATTTTTAATTTTTAATGTTTCATTTTAAGTGATGTTAAATCACTGCTCCTTTAAAAATTGTATTTTTAAAAGTGTTTTTTTCATTGATACATGTCCCCCAGGGCAGTACCCGGGTCCCCATACACTTTTTATGGCCAATAAATTGCATATAAGACTTCAAAATGGGGACATTTAAATTTCTGAGTTCTACCCCCATAGACTTGCATTGAGTTCTAAGTTCGAGTTAGAACTTTTTCCATTTTCGAAAATTCGAGTTAGAACCGAACACGGGGGTGTTCGGCTCATCACTACACATGACCAGAGCGAAGTGGGAAAGAACCTGTGGTGGCTGCGTTGCAGCCTTGCACGGACCAGCGGCCGTGAGTGACAGTTAGGTTGCCTGATACCTCCCTATTAGTTCCAACTAGGAGGACTATTGACTAGGGAATCATGTCACTCTATTCCTCTCACCTTTTGATGTTGTCTAATTTTGTGTGTGTGGGGGGATCCATGTGAACCTGGTTCTTTCCCACTTCGCTCTGGTCATGTGCACATGAATTGCTTCCAGACCTGATTTCCTACTGCAATCAGTAAATTCCTAATGGAGCGCATATAGCGTGAAATGTGTTTAATAATGGATGCTAGCAACCCCATACTTTAAGAAAAGGGAGATATATATGCCAAATCTCTGAAAAGTACACACGCTTTTGTCTTTGTATATATAATATACTTTATTTATACTTTGGAGTGGCATTTTAGAGGTAGCAAAACCAATCTGTAAAAAGGAAGCTATATATTTGCTTTTTAACTTGATTATATCAATATTTTAACAATAAAGCACATTTTTTGTTACAACACTTATATGGTTTTGGTCTTGTCATTCAAGCACCTAATAAAAAACCATATACCCACTTGTTTTTGTATCTTGCTTTCAGGGGTGTGGTGCCGATCACTCAAGGGTCTCTCACACATCTTTTCTCTGTGGATAACTGTGGGCATAGGGTTCAGTCTATGGAGGATTTTCTATTCCATTTTTTTCTCTCTATGAGCTGAACTTGATGGACTTTATTCAACCTGACTATGTAACAAGAGCCAAGGACAAATCAATTATGTATGCTTGCAGTGCAAGCATGCATGAACACATGGATGTAAGCACATAAAAAAGCAATCCCTCAACCTATCTAGCAAATTGTATACTGGTTTTAAACGCATATGGTGTGGTCCTAGTTTGCTGTGCATGTTGTATTTCTAAATAATGTTTTTGTGCCTTCTGTTCTCATAGGGTACATCAATGAATAGACAATGATGTACCCAACATTTTACTTGAATATGAAAGCAATGAGACACACATGCGCCAAGCAAAACCGCATATACCACAATTTTTATTTTAGGCAGACCATTGATAACTGACATGCACTCATACACTGGAGAGTACACCCCAACAACAGACCAACCTTATTAGTAAATTCACCATTTATGCTGGAGCCTGTATGCCTGTATCTGTGTGCATCACAGACACATTATAAATGCCATGAGGATATGATTGCTTGCCCGTGCATTAGCTTTAGCAAAGTAAGCCCTGTGTGTGTGTGTTAGAGATTTCTTGCTGAGGGTAAAAATTAACAAGGTAAAGTAGGGCCACAGATTATTTTACCTACCCCTCAGGATAGCATTTTTAAGTGTATGAGTTGTCAGAATTTCTCCAATGAGGGTGTCTGTTTATTAAACAGAGATAAGCCTATCTCCTCTGTGCAGCTGTTTATGTGGCTGCGATGAAGGGTGGACATGATGTTCCTCACTTCTCATCACAGCACAGTGAGAAGTGGCCAGTCAATCGAATACCAACAGCCAGTTTAATAAGGTGCAATGAGAGCACCAAACTGGCTGTTGGCATAAAATATTTTCCCTACTACAGTATACCAGAAATGGTGATAACAGGCATGGAGGAGAAAAACAGATGTCAAGAAGAAGTAGTTACATTATGTTCTCTGCTTCCTCACTCACCGTGTCATACCCAGAAAAAGTCACCCACATAACACTCTAGAGCAGGTCACAATATATAAGTCAGTGATCTTTATCTCCTAAAAAAAAATGAAATTGCGTAATCGATACATGAACAACAACAAAACAAATATAGATGTATCCATAACTTATACACCACTGACATATGGGTCTATTCACAAAGCAGCCGAAGGATCTAGCCATAGCTTCGGCCGATCCTTCGGCTAGCTTCGGCTAGCTTCGGCTAGCTTCGGCCCCAAGACCCCTTTGGTTCAGTAGAACCAAAGGGCTGCTCTACGGGCTATTCACTATAGCCTGTACAGCTCCCGAACTTGGCAAAATGGCTCAGTCGAGCCGAACGCATATGCCTCGGCTCGGCTGAGCTGCGCTGAAAGCCGAAGCTGGCCGAACGGCCAGCCATTGGCCAGCCGACAGCCTGCTTCTGAGAGCTGGGTGGAGCCAGCCTTGATCTTACGGCTGGCTCTGGCCACTTGCAGAGAGATCAGCGTCCTTGGTTATCAGCTAACCAGGGACACTGATCTCCAGACAGCAAACTCTCCCGGGCGCTCTGGGAGTCTCCCGCTCCCAGCCGCCAAGGAGAGAAACACTGCTTTTTCTTTTTTTTTTTCTTTATTCTGACACGGACCCATGTCAGAATAGAAAAAAAAAATGTGGCCATAGGAATGCATTGTTAGATTCCTATTGGCTATTGCAATTTGCAATAGCCTGTCACGTCTGCAGTAATTACAATGGTTGGATCACAACTGCGGAGGAAAAGGATCAGTCAGATATGAATCTCAGGCATCACTCACAATCTTAACCGTGAGTTTGAGATTCTACCATCATGAAATAACGTAAAACAACGTGGAACGCAGCCACCGTGTCACAACCCGGAGTTCGTGCGGTTTCCGCGTTCCACGGTGGAACGCAGAGGGCCGCGGCGGAGACACAATAGGCAGCCCCGTCGGCGGCATTACATAGCCAATAGCAAACTAGCATTGCACCCGCCCTCTGCTGCAGTTCTCCATCAGGTCCCCACTACTGATTGACAGCAGCAGAGGGCGGGTACAATAGCTAATTTGATATTGGCTATTGCAAATTGAAATAGCCAATAGGAATCTAGCAATGCATTCCTATGGCCAAAATTTTTTTTTTCTATTCTGACACGGCTCCGTGTCAGGATAAAAAAAGAAAAAGCAGTGTTTCTCTCCTTGGCAGCCGGGAGCAGGAGAGCGCCCGGGAGAGGTTTTTTTTTCGTTTTTTTTGACGGCAGCAGAACCGCCGGCCAATAGAAAACAGTTGGGCGGAGCTAGCTATCACTGCTAGCTCTGCACAATCGTTTTCTATTTATTTTTTCTATTTTTTAAACTATTTTTCTGTTCAGCTCGGTCCCTCTGAGGGACCAAGCAGAACAGCCGAGCCGAATGCCGCTCAACGGCATTCGGCTATTCACTCAGTGCTGTTCGGCATCTATAAGAATAGACCGAACAGCAGCGAGTAGCCTGAGGCTATTGCAAATTGAAATAGCCAATAGGAATCTAGCAATGCATTCCTATGGCCAAAATTTTTTTTTTCTATTCTGACACGGCTCCGTGTCAGGATAAAAAAAGAAAAAGCAGTGTTTCTCTCCTTGGCAGCCGGGAGCAGGAGAGCGCCCGGGAGAGGTTTTTTTTTCGTTTTTTTTGACGGCAGCAGAACCGCCGGCCAATAGAAAACAGTTGGGCGGAGCTAGCTATCACTGCTAGCTCTGCACAATCGTTTTCTATTTATTTTTTCTATTTTTTAAACTATTTTTCTGTTCAGCTCGGTCCCTCTGAGGGACCAAGCAGAACAGCCGAGCCGAATGCCGCTCAACGGCATTCGGCTATTCACTCAGTGCTGTTCGGCATCTATAAGAATAGACCGAACAGCAGCGAGTAGCCTGCTGGAGGTTCGGCTTAGCTGATCCAGATGTTGGATCGGCTAAGTCGAACTCCTTCTGCACTTCTGAGCATGTTCGGCCGACCCGAAGCCACCCGATGTACGGCTGATTTCAGCCGATATACAGCTGAAATCAGTCGTACCTGCCTGAAGTTAATAGCCGAACAGTGTTCGGCTCACTTCGCTTTAGGTCGGTCATTCACTCGGCTGCCTACGGCAGCTTAGTGACTAGACCCCATAGTCACAAATGCACTCAAATGTGACACAGAAATACCTTGATAGACATAAAATCACAATTGTTCATGTACAGTCCTCTCTCCAATATGTATTTTATTAACTGTAATTTTACGTATTAACTGTTATTTTTCCTGCTTCCTTAATTTAATGTTTCATTCAGAAGTAGTTGGGCTCACGGCACAAAGCTCCCTTCTCCTAACTTCTGTGGACTTTGCAGCTGTTCAATGCAGATAAGATTCACTTCTTTTCTCCATCAGTGTAGGGAAGTTCCAATGTTAATAAACATGGTCTTCTCTGAAATGTTTATATGTGTTGCATATTGGCACTGTATTAAGGAGTGGTACATTATTCTTTATTGACCATACACCTAAATGTTGATGAAAACAGTGGTCATTACATCTATTGTTGCCAATTAATTCTATAACAGAACAGTGTTAAGTAACTCCAGTACAATTTTCATCTTAACTGGCCGCATAACATAAATCCCATGCATATTTAAAGTAAATCTGCTTC